TTTTTAAAAACCATTACCACTTTAATATCTGCAGATTGCACTATTCCTGACACTAATATACTCATGCCCTGAACAATCTGAATCTAATTTGTGTTGTTATTTATCTGTTACTGCCAAATCTGCTCATTTAGTGGACAAGTCTGAAATTTGCCATTATAAATACACATAAAGGGTTGAGTGTCACCCTGACCTACAGTTCCATTCCCGTTTACCTCTTTTATTGACAATAAACAGCATTCAATGTCCAGTCTGTAACAAAGTAAGAGAAGTAATTTGGTTTATTGATGATTTTCCTTGTTAAATAAATGTCTGCTTACTAACACCCCAATGGGCCAAAGACATAATATATGGGACACTGCTTATTCAAATAAGTAGTTCCTATCCATTTTAACAGGCAATTTACCTGTGATAGCCAACAAAGTAAACACATTCATCTTGCATAACTAAAACACACATAAATCTTTCCCAGGGTTAGGATGATTGTAGCCACATACTTCCCTGCTTCCCTTGTGAGAATATGTCTTTCTCATATTTACTTTTCTCCTTATTTTGTGTCCCAAGATTGTGCACAAAGAACCAACTGGAAACAAAGCAGTTTCTTGGGGTTTTCTGTATTGACCTTGTGGACCCCTGAGTGCTGCAATTAAAAGAGAAGGGGGCTTTGCTCCCTGGGTCATTGAAAGTAAGGCCAGATTTTTGATCTTCATCCAAGTCCAATATGTCATCACACATGAACAGGAGAGGTTAAAAGGGCAAATTTTTAAGCATTTGACTGTGCAACTGCTGCATGATCTGTATACCCACAGTTTTTACAGTGAACACACATATGTGGCAATTATGCACTCAACTGGTTCCTTGCACCTTTGAAATTTTAACATATATACTTAGAGTATAAGTAGTCAGATAAGTAAGTTGCTGATCTACAGAAAATCTACAGGCAGCCAGAGTTATAGCTGAAATTAATGGCATTTTCCTAAATGAAGTTTAATGAAAAAATTTGAATTTTCAGACATAAATAAGATTTGCAAATAGACAAAAACTTTTTTGTTTGTTCTACAAATGAGAGGATATAGTAAAAGACCATCTAAATTTTTCCAGTCAAATATCATAACAACCATCATCCCTTCTAATTTATAACAACAACTCTGACTTTCTAAGATGGTTTCCTTAGACAATTTTAGTGCAATTACAATTTGCAATGATGAGGTCACCAGAAGGCAAAAGCTGGTAATGTAACCAGTGAGCATTGCTGAAGAACTTTAGTTGACGCACTTACATTTAAAATTGGCTGTCATGTTGGGGTAATACCTCATAAAACTACAAGCAGCCCTGAGATGCTTGTTTAGCCTAAGACTTCAAACTTCACGTCTAATCCAAACCACATCTCTGAGCAGCACAACACCTTTAAAGCCCATACTAAGTGCATTAGTGTAACTCTGACTCCACAGAGTGTCAGCTGACACTGATAAAAAAAAAGATACTTCTCTTTACAAATTCACTATTTCTAACATTGAAGCTGTGATACGACATTCAATAGTCTACCCTATGAGTTTGCAGGAATAACGGGGTTTAGTTTTTTAATATTTTTTTTGTTATAAAGTGGAATAGCTTACTGGAAAATATGAAAGCATTTCAGATTTTTTAAAAAAAAACCAGTTTTTCTCTCTTGTTGACAGTGCTTAGAAAATGTGGGTTAACTTGTTTTTCGTTGCTGTTTAAATAACAGATTAATTTAATAATCATTGGGATATTGAATAACAACAAATTATGGGGTGGGGCAGCCAAACCCTGACCCTAATGACATTCTTATGTTAATTCTTATTTTCTTTCAGGCTCCTGCTTTCTTAATAAAACCTATATTTTTGAAAATCATTTTTAAACATTGCAATTTATCCCGAAGTAGCATTTATTTTTTGCTAGTAAGAGATAAGTTTCCATACAGAGAGTGCATTTTATATGTCTGTATATAATTAGTGCCTGACTCAGTGTACAGGTGCCCTTCCACTGACTAAGTTTCCCAGAGGTGACTGAAAAGGTGAGACACCTATTAACAAAGTAATTAGCATGTAGCCCTTTCTACTGTATCATTTCTTTGAGGACCCTTTGATTTAAATCCAAGCACTCATGATTAAATTTATGATTGGAAGCGTTTATAAGAGAGTTTTCATTACTATAGTTGGTAACTGTTTACTTTGGCAACTGAGGTGCAGAGTATTCCTATAAGATCAGTAACAGCTCACCCAGGACTGAATAAAACTGAGTCTTGGACTCTCACTACGTGACCTTGTTAGCAAAACCACAGTATTTGTGCACCAAAATGCCTTATCTAAGTAACAGGATATGGTTTCAAGTAATATCAGTCATCATTTTTACTTCTGCTAAAAGACTGTTTTTAGTCTCCTTTTTCAGACAAGGGTTCTGTGCTAGTGCCTGACGTCGTAGGAACAAAAGCCAGTGACTTGAGTAACTTCTGACACAACTTCCTTGAAGCAGAGCACTTGCACAGCTTTTGTTTGCAAACCTGTTCACAATACACTGACTTTCCTAGTGCCTTTCAAATAGGTTTTCAGTATCCCAAGGGGTGTATAATTAGCTAAATATTTACAAGTATCTTTTTTTTCTATTTGTAATAAATATTTGCAATTATATATCACAGATTAATCAATAATGTGATTCAAGGAGGACACAGAAAATAATCCCACTGACTCAAAGGGATCTGAATCAGAGCCTGGTATGCAACAGATGCTGCACAGATTAACCACTGGACATGGTGTCAGTGCCAGACTTGTTGTATATACGACTGAACCTAAATTCTGACTGATTGAGCCCATCATTCTTAAATTACAAATATTAAGCAATACACTTGCTTGTAAAAATATTTATTGGTACTAAAGCCATGAAACAGAAAACTGGGTCAGAAGATGTAGGTCTACAAAGGACTTTGGGTCAAATTCCTGAGCTGTTCTGCGGGAAAATGTCCTGGGTTATAACAAAAATATTTGGAATCCAATGTAGTCTGCAATCTTAGATGCAATTTGTAGATTGTTAATGACAGTGGGTAAATGGTATAACGAACAATTTTCCCATGAGAATCTAATAGTTCTTCTGGATTATTTCTTTAGGTTTTGCCATTGCTTGTGGAGAGAAGTAATGGGTGCCTTGAGATCAGTTTGTAACTTACAGGGTTTTCTTTTATTTTTTTTTCCACTGTGGAACACAAAATGTTTTTCTATGAAAAAGATCTTAGTGCATTATTTTTGAAATACTATAATTTTCACTAAACTCAGTTTCCAACTTGGTGCTTTCCAAGTATTGCAGAATTGTATTATTTTTGAAACTTGTTCTTTGACCTGAAGTTACCTAAGAACACAGACTAGAATCTGCACTCCTTTGAGAAAACCTAGTCCTGTTAAATTAATCTTCTTTCCATGGAATCATGTCTGCTTGCAATATTTAAACAGAATCATAGAATGGTTTGGATTTGACGGGACCTTAAAGACCATCCAATTCCAACCCCCCTGCCATGGGCAGGGACACCTTCCACTAGACCAGATTGCTCAAAACCTCATCCAACCTGGCCTTGAACACCTCAAGGGATGCATGATAATTTGTTGCACAACTTCTCAGTAATCTTGTGTTAAATTATCACAAATTAAGGGAGCTTAAATTTTACAATGCTGGCACAAAGCACTCATAGCAGTGTAACCTGCATTGTATTTGATATGTCAAGTGGAAAAAACATGGCTTGATTTTGTTGAGTTTGTACTTTTCAGTCAGTGGGACCTATTGTTATGCTTAAAGGGCTCCCGAGCATCAATTTACAAAGCACTCTCATACTTCTATCCCACAAAGCCATATAAAACCAATTATTCATACTAGACATTAACAATGTTCTTATACTTAAAAGTTGGTCAGTAGCAAATCAAAAGTCAATATTAGCACTCAAAATTTATCTCCACTGTACTTACTCCCATTTCCTGTTTTAAAATATTGGAAATATCAAGGAGAAAAAATAGGACTAAGTCCAGAAGCACACCTATTGACTTCAAAGTGACAAAGTTTTCACCTGTATTTGCTAATTGCATATTGATTTAGCCTGGAGAGAGTTATAACAATTTTTGTTCAACTTATAAATTCTTCCTGACATTCATATTGATAGACACATTATTGCTGTAAATACTCATCTCCTTTATGATGACAACTTACTCAGCGTAAAGGAAATCCAATTAAGTGACTTCTCAAGGTACAAAAATTTGCATAAACAATACCTATGCAATACTTCCATTACAATGTACCAGAACTACAGTCAAAATGTCACTGCACATAGCCACCAAATGCAGAGAAAAGACATTTCAATTGTGAAGAAGGAAAGCTACACTGAAGTCTTTCTCTTCTTTTAACCCTATGAGGGACGATTTTACAGTAGCACTGGCAGAACTGACAAGATTGCAGCACTGACATGTGAGATTTGTTACTATTAACTCAGCTTCCCAGCACTGAACACTTGGAGAATGGATTTAATCCTCTCCCACTCTTTCAGCCCAATAATTCTAAGAAGGAAACTCTGTTTGGCATTCCAGTAAAACAAACAGGTCTCACTGCACCACAAGGGAACTCCTAACGTATCCAGCAGGGTTTCACTCCTGCTGAGGAGCCTGAACAGCACTTACCTTTTTGCATCTAAATCTTACAGACAATGTCCTTAGAATGCTGCCTGCAAATAGGAAAAGTCTTAAAGCATTCACTATTTGAAATTAACATAAGCCTGTACTGGTTTTACTTTTTTTTTTTTGGCAGAAAATAATAGGCAGCACTTCAATTTAAGAGCATCAAATTTTTAAATGACCCCTGTAATAAGAGAAATGACACCCTGACAGAGGTCATTACATAACGCAAAACATAACAGACTTGTACATTCTTCAGCACAGCCTTGAATAATTCAGTTTTATTGCTTTGTCACAAACAGTTGCATAAAAAAAAAATATATTGAAAGGGCTTACTTGAAACAGTCATCGCAAGCAATATTCCCCGTGGTCTCCTTTATAGTGCGTTCGGAAACAAAAGCTGGATATTCAGTGTCACAGGGCTCTAGGGTTTGTTTCAACCTCTGCGCTATAGGCACAGGAAAAAATATCTCGATGTTAACATGGGAAGAACAGCACACAAACTTGGGAACAACGTGAGATGCTGTACTGCGGAGCTCACAGAGAACGGAAATGTTACTCAGCTTCTGCCACCCTGTGAGATTTCCTAGGCAGTGCATAACACTGTTTTTTCAATTAAATTAAAAAAAAAAAAAAAAAGCAGTTTATCCATGGAATGTAATTTTGCAAGACATTACTATTAAAGTAGTTATTAATGCTTTAGCCATTGCCAACCCACTTTACATATGCACAATCTTTCCGTGCAGATTCAAGCTGGATTTACTGTCGTTTTTGTCTCAGTGGTGCTGTGCATCACTAACTTTTATTCATAGGAGTTTACATTCATTTGATGAAAATTTTGGTATTATTTTACTGAAGTCAAAACAAATTGGTTTTGGATTACAGCTTGGGAATCTTTGCAGCTACAATAACTCGGTGGGTGGGGGAGGTAGAAGAGTTACTTTACCCAATTCCAATGTTATCTGTTTCCCAAAATACTAATAATGAAGACCCTTTAGTCTGAAGTCCTTGCAGGACAAAGAAAGAGTCACTAATTACATCTTAAAGATTGGGAAACTGAGGTACCAGAAAGCAATGAGACTGGTTCAAGGTCAAACTACAGGACAGCAGCAAAGCTGGGAACTGAAGGCAGCTCTTCTGACTCTCACGCTGAAGTATTTGTCAGACAATGCCTCTCCCTCATTCCCTTTCTTTTTCCTCCCCACACCTTCATTGTTCCTTAACACAGAGATATACTTGCACATCAGCACAAGTGTTAAACCTATCTTAAACTAATTGCTAAGTGAGAAAACAAGATGAGGTATGACAAAAATAGATTACACTAAACAGGCTCTTGGGCTGGACAGATCTTCCACTGGAGATAATCTGTTTCAGAGCGAGTGGTGCATCCACTGTGCAGTGCAAGGGAACCACCACAACTGCATTTGCAATCACACAGCAGGACGTGCATTTCTGAACTGTTCACAGTTTTTGTATAGAATAAAAAAAGGAGTACCTCAGAGGAGGTACTAAAGTTGGTCAGAAAAGTTTCGTTATTTCTGAAGTTTTCACTATGACTGTGACATATTTAAGTATGTCACGTATTAGGTATTTTTTTAAAAATTGTCTGACTAGCTCTACTGTACCTTCTCCCTTTCTCTTCTGTTTCCCTTATCTGTTGTAATGAATGAATGGAATTTATCACCTGTGGTTTGGGTCTACCCTCATTTTTATCAACATGTGGTTTGTGTAACAAAAAGACTGCCGAAGATTTGTGGGTATCAGATTTCCAGCACCTCTCTGGAGTCCAGAAGATGATGGGATTGTTCAAGGTTTAGGGTTTCTTCTCTCTCATTTACAAATGTGATTGAGATTACAAGATCTTGTGCAGAAGTACTTTTCAGAGTAGGGTTTGTTAAATGGGCAGGTGTGTGTGTATCCTCTAGGATTTTCCTAATATGTGATACACCGTTAATGTCACAAACTGAATGGGAAGCAATTACCATATTAGAGGAACTGATCTTTTTCCTGAGCTTCGTTAAGTAAAAAAAAAAATAAATAAAAAAAGGTGCAAATTTTTAAAATTTAATTTCATTAAGTGCAGTCATAAATATTAAAACTCTTAGTGGTAACATAACATCTACAGAAGAATTTGTTACTCTTCTGTATATATATATATAATCTATAATTCCTAAGCATGTGCTTTTTTCTTCTGCTTTCTTGTGAAATATCTCTTGCTTTTGCTTTACTAAAACATGCTGGTTTCCAAAGAGCTATCTGTTGCTATCTAACCAAACAGGAGCTGGGCAATACTATATGGGCATACCATAAAAGTTATGACATCCCAATGATGAGAGGATATTTTCAATACTCTTACTCATCGAAGAAATGGAGCAAGTGACTTGTGTAATTAAAACTTCACTGTCAACTAAAACTTGAAATTCCTCAATCATGCTTGTCCATCAAAGTGCTGTAATGACAGTTTTGTTTTTAAGAAAAGCAAGTTTGCAAGTTATCAATGCCTCATCTGTAGTTAGTGCACTCTTTAAATACAAATCAGACATTCATTCTCATGAGATGAAAAGGGATTGCTTTTGAAAGATATTTTCCCTAACATACAATGCAAGTGCCATTGAATGTTTCATGTCAGGATATACTGAGGCATATTTGTACAGTACATGGGAAAAAAAAATCCAAAAAAGTTGTTTCCTACAGTGGATGCTTTGTGCTGTTCTGCAAACATCAAGGACTAGGTCTGGTGAACCTGCCATTCCTCTTCAGATGCAGAACAGCAACTGGTTTGCATTTTCTGGGTCTAGCACAGCAAGCCCGACTGTCCCTCACAGCCATCAGGGTCAGAGACTTTTTTCTTCATCATTAGGGAAATCACTGGAAAGTTAGTCTTGGTTTTTAGGAGATCTGTGTAGGCACTGCTGGTCAGGAAGCAGTCCCCAAAGCAAACAGTGCCTGGCAGGTTCCCATGAAGCTCTACCCGTGTGTGGGCACCCAATCTGCATCAGACTCATTGCTGGTGTCTCAGAAGCATCAGCTCCAGCACTGCAGAGCACTGTGCAGTTCACATCAGTGTGGGAAAGGCTGGAATAAGTTCATGCACCTAAATTTTCGGAAGGCTCTTACCAAACCCTCACCTCCAGCAGACACCCTTCTCAGCCTCCCCGTTCCTTACCCAGCATTTACCACACGTTAGGCAGCAGCCTGACGTGCTCTGCCAATAATTTCTGGTTGCTCCAGGAGACAAATTTTATACTAGGAGCATCTTATTATTCCAGAGAATACTGGATTATTCCAGGGCATCTGTATGTTCAATTTTCCTGATATCTAAACTTCAGACAGGATATGATTTCTCCTGGATACCAGGCAATGCAAATATCAACTGAAGCCTAAAGCAGCAATTTTATCCTCTGCTTTGCAAAGGAATGTGCAAATATGAGGCTGAAAAATTCAGTTTAAATCATTATACCAGCACAATTTGCCTAAGAAATCATCAATTGAAGAGCAGTGCTCCCATAAATTAGCCCTTTACTTCTGAGCAACTTCTGAAAATGCCGTAAAAAGTCTGCTAAAATCTAACAGACTACTTATACTGAAAACTTCCCATTTTTATGGGAACTATTAAAATTCCATCATTTCAAATGAAGTTTCTACATTTTAAAAATTATTTTGAGTAAACTGAATTTTAATTCACTTAAATGTATATTTCAAATGGTGTCATAAAACAAAATCACAAAGATTGTTTTGGAATGAAGGGAAGTGTTTTTAAAAAATGTATTTAATCATTATTTACTATTTTAACTTTTTCATTACAGCAGTGCACTGTATTCATAGAGCACACACAAGCACTTTGTGTTTATTCATAGAAGAGCTTAATTCCTTTGTGTTTTAGGAAACATTCACAAAACGGAGAATGCTGACATGGGAGACAAACTATTATTATCAGATATTTATTATTTAATCTAAAACAGTTTATGCACATCCAAATTTCAAAAATCCAATTTAACCTAGACATTTCTGACATTACGTCTGGAAAAAAAATTACACTTACCTTTTGCTGTTAGATCGGAGTGCCACCAACTGCATAGATTGAATTCCACAAGGAACCTAGAGAAATTATTGGAGTTTTCATTATCCCACAGCATGTTTTCAAAACACTAAACTGGCAGTAGCTTGATAACGTTAATTCTATTTTAAATAAAAGCTAAAACAGAACTGGAATTCATGTTACTATAACTCTGGGATTAGCAACTACTGCTATTCTCATATTTTCACTGGGTTGCATTTTACCTCAGAAATTATTCTGAAAATAATCCTATCAATAAATCATATATTTAGCTATTATTAATTTAAATATTGGTCTTATTTGAAGTGCCAAGTCAAATTCTCAATGTATGGCAGCATATACTCTTTTTACTGTTGAACATTATGTCTTTATTATGCAGGTATTTTGACTCTAGTAAAATGCCACAGGACTAGAACTGTCCAGGCTACAATACAGGCATACATATAAAAATACTTTCTTTCATTAATTTTCCAAATAATAAGCTATTTTATTTCTAAGAGCAGACAAGACTGATTAACCACTATCTAATCAATTCTAACTAAATTGTAAATAATGCATTTTCCCACTTAAATACACTATGATTTACTTGGAAGAATGGATTGAGAAGTGCCAGTCTATCACTTATTTTAAGTGTAAAGAATGTGAAACCATCCAGTTCATCATATGCCCATGAATCTACAAGACTTAAAGCATAGAAAGTTTCTTGGAATTTTTGAAGCTGTTACATGAAGCACCAGTCTCATTTTAACACAATTCTTTCCCTTCTATTTGCTTTGAAAGCTGCATTTAAGATCAATCTCTGCCCTCTAGCAGTAGCCACTCAGTTAAATCTCTTTAACTCTTATTCTGAACTTTGATGAAAGCTTATACAATTTACAATTAAACAAAATGACTATAAGGAAAAAAACAGTTCTATTTCAACGAAGATAAAATTCACTGAGATCTGCAGCTCTGCTTTCTGATAAGAACAATAATAAATCATGTTGGTTAATAACATGACACATTTTAAGGCTTCCTCTTCTCCACGTAATATTGCTCTGTTATTTTTTAGGCACCCTCTCTTAAAGGTAACGATCATTATGAATTAACTGGGAATGTTACAAGAATCAACAGAGATAAAACACTTCAGCAACATCCAGAGCACACCTTATCTGGCAGGTACCATAAAAGGTCCATCTCATAGAATTTTATGAAGTGACAAACAATACAGTGAGTCAGTGCAACCAAGTTTCTCTACTGACAACAGCCCACCCAAGCAGCATCACAAACAGCCAGTCATTTATCTAAAATTTAACATTAACCACAAAAATAAATTTGGGCTGTATATTGTGATCTGCTAAACAAAGATATACAGATACAAGTGAAGACCGCGTAATAAAAGTGATGCTGTGCATTTATATAGCCAAAATTGTCTCAGATTTTAAGAATTCAAAATTGGAAAAAAAACCCTGACAAATATTACTATATTTCAAGCTGTATAATAAAAGCAGCATAATGCATGTAAAATGCAAAAGGTACAAGTGATAATTAAATATTCAAAAGTTGCAAATATACAGTAATTCATACAAATATTAAGTTCTGATAAAATCTACTTACAAGACAAGTTCAGTCATAATCCATTTTACTGCAGCAAAGAAGGCATTATAAGGCTGAAGAGAAGCAACTCATTTAATAAAAAGGCAAAACATGCAGCATTTATATCTTAACTGAATTCTTCATATGAAAACAATATTATGGATATTCAAATGCATGGGGAACATGAGAAACAACCCTTTTTCTTATGAAGAAGAAACATTATTATATTAATTATTAAAATGTATAGTAATGAAATTTCCTTTTTCTCACAGTTGATCTTATACACAGATTATCAGAGGGGGAAAGGAAGGTTTTGCAAATGATTCTTAAATCTTTAACCTCTAGGGGTTCCTATTTCCCTGGCTATTGCTGAAGGAACAGCTCGGGTAGATGATATGAGCTTTTCTTGGGCTGCAATTCAGAGGCTTTCCTCTCTGTAGTGTAAATCTCTGTTCAATACCTCGGCCTAATTAGGCTGGGAATAGTTTCTGAAGTTTGACTTTACCTAAATGATTATCTGTGTCATATGGAAGGTCCAACTGTAAACACTTTAAGTACGTTTTTGCCTCCTTCCTCTGTTTTTCTGGATCATGAAAAATACAGCAAATCCCCTGAGAATCCTGTGTTTACAGTACTTCTAATACATTTTGAAGGTTTCATTTTTGAAAAGAATATTAATGAGATTAATCTTTTGTGAAAGAAACTCAGGCAGAAAAGTCAGTTTCCAGAAATTTGGAAAGGAATCTCTCCTTGTCTCCCTCATTTGTGTTAGGGTGTCCTAGTTGCATAAAGTTCTGCAGACTCTTTTAGATATCAACAGAGTATATTGGCACATACAAGAAGTCATATTAACAGAACTACTCAGATGTCTAAAGTAATTCTCAACTGTCCTGAGCCAGCACTCACTGAGGCAGTGCTGTTTTGGTGAGCAGCAACAGCCATTTAAAATTTTCGGGGGCCACAGAGAGTGTTTCTCTGCATGGCTGAGAACTCACAGAGCAACAAACTCGTGTCAGTCAGTGCCATAAAAGGCCCAGTAGAATTTCTAACAGCTGAGAAAGGAAAGATTTTCAGCTGTTAAGCACTGTCTTATAGGAAAAGATAAAGAACTACAAGACTTTCCTAGAGACGAAAAGAAAACACAGTTTTAGCCCTATGGGATATCTTATTTATTTTTATTTCAAATAAGAAAACCTAAAATTTCATGCCCAAGTAATTAACTTTGCTGTATACTTTGGCTTTCATAATGCCAAATGATTTAGTATAAAACAGTATATTCATTATTAATTAGGAACAATATATGTTTAGTTAGAGCCCACTTTTAAGAGATAAACACTTCAGTTCTACATGCTGAGTGCTCAAGCAAACTGAGCTGAAGCCCCAAGCCTTAGGATGGTAGTATTTTGCTAAGAATTGTAATATGTTTTAAGATATTTCATGCAAATATGCTTCACAGCATCATGTTCTATTTCACTAATAATTTAGGTCTCATGGCACAGCGTAGTATTTATTATGTCAATATGGTCTTTTCTCAGATTCAGACTTTGGTGGATAAAAAACTGATAAAGTCCAAATCTGCAGATATTTGGAAAAAAGAAACACATAAATTTGTAAATGAAAACATCCCCAAAAGCACACAGTTATTAAACCATAGCAAAAATATATATATATATATATTTGGAGGTTTCCAGAATTTGATATTTATTCAACAGTTTAACTATATGTAGACTTGTTTTTTTCTAGCTAGATCCCTGTGCATTTAAAAATACTATCAGATAGCTCTTCCAGACTAGTAAAATATACCAGTGTTTTGCTTCTGCTCTCTTTAATTGAGAATTTTTTCATGCTATTACTGTCATCTATTTGTGAAAATAATTTTTAATATGCAAAACCTACACTCTAACACCACCTGATCAGTTCTGATAGATTATTACAGCAATCAGTGAGACAGATGCATGATTATAAAATACCCTTGGGGTTATTAACTAGATATAGGATGTAGCAACAAGGAAGTGTTGCCCTTGCAAGATCCAGCTTGATTCTAATGAGGCCTTGCAGAGGGTCAGGGTTTGTATCCAGATTGCAAGAGAAGGGTTTAAATGCATTGAAATTCTACTTTAATAACATCTTTAAATACTCAGGAAGAAAAAAGTGCTAAAATCGCTGACCTGCACAACTTGCCAGTGAACCAATGCTTTCATATAAAAAAAAACCCACCTCAATTTTTAATTTCAATTACTTGTTTACATACAGGAAAGGCACATGTGATTCCAGTCTCCCAGACAAAGCACAATCTACTGCCAAATTTACAAATTCCTAAGGCAGATTCATATGGTGCAAAGAATCTCCTGACAGAACCTCAGAAATGATGGCCCAGCATTAAAATGATTGTGTGAGTATTTGAACTCGAAAATGCTTAACAGCTTGCATTTGTTTATAATGAACCATCCCTTGAATGCACTGGGACAAACCCAAGAGCTGTAAACATTCCAAATCAAAATAATGGGCTTATAATGGCCATGAGATATTTGCAACAATTTTCTTTGATGGCTGCATGGAAAGGTGCTCAGAAAATGTGCTATACTTACGTCCAGCAAGCTATGGGCACTGTCGCTACTCTCTTTGTTTGTTCTACACATGGCCTGGTAGTCATAAAGTGTAATTCTACAGAGAAGAACAGAAAACTGCTTGACTAAAAGAAGAAAACTCAGTGGGATAAAAATGATGAAATGGAACAGCCTGCTCAAGAAGTGGACAGGAAAATAAAAATTGTAACAGTAGTAGGGGAAAGAGGGAATGGGGTCATTAAAATACAGGTTACACAAAGGAGCATAAAGATTAGAAATTCTGTGAAAACTTTGTAAGGGTTTTATCAGACTACAGAACAAAGCAAAAGCATAACTGGAAGAAACCGGGGAAGAGACACATACAGTGTAACACACAATGGTATAAACAATGTGAGGGGGAGGAGGATAATAGACATTGAACACAATGCTTAAACAATTGGTTCTGGACTAAGATCAGCACATTTAGCCCCAGAGAGTGAAAGAGCCTATGCATTTGAGGGGCTGCTCACAATAGACCACTTGGAACTAGAGTTTTATTTTTACTAGAGTGAAAGCAAAAAGACATTTCTACAGTTCCAGCATCTCAGTGCACAGCTAATTTGTAACATGGCCTTGATTCTGAAGGAGGGACAGGTAGAATTTCAGTGCATTCATGGGACAGATAATTGAGGCAGGATGGGTTTACCTTTGCTTCTTTTCATAAGGGCAAAATATTCCATGTCAAGTACCTGCTGTAATCAACATATGCTAGAAGCCTCCTCAGATGCATAGTAAACACAGGGAAATTTACTTATGCTTGCAATTTGACTCATCATTGAAACACTTCAGAGATCTAAATGTAAAATCCAGAACTCAGAGCTAGTATATGGAATTATTGTGATTATTTCTCTAAATCTGTCTGTCCATAGAACAATCAATTAACTATATCCATCCACATAAAAAAGCACTTAGCATCTATAGCAGATGTAAAGAATCTTTAGCTAGTAATTTGCAACAAATGTAAATATATAACATATCCATTTGACTTTTGCATCATCAGAGGGACAAAGGACCACAACTGGACAGAGATGGTTAATAGATGTATGAGATGGGACTTCAATGTTTTGCAATGTGTGCCTTGCTTCTAAGTGAAGAGGAAAGGAGAGCACACAAATTCACCTATGGAAAGGATGTCCCAGAAGCTGCCAAAACCAGGTCATGAAATGCATTCAGCATCATCATGAGGCATTCTGCACTGCATGCCATGAAACATTGCAACCTGTACCAATAAAATGCTGTATTCCATTGTGGTAGAAACTGTTGCTTGTTGGTTTGTTTGGGTTTTTTTCTGATCTGATTTTGTGACAGCAACCATCACTTAAAGCTTCTTTAGTTTCTCTATATTTTCTTTTTGGCTTACAAGCAAAATATCTAATACAGTGGGTCTTGCAGCTTCAACTAAACATTTAGTACGTGGTCATACTGCTTACATTATTCACCTTCTCTTATACTGAGAATAGAAATGCCTAGGAAGCCATTGTTTTGTGGACTGGCAGAGAGAGGCACATGGTAGACAAACGCATAACTAGAGACCTAAACATGGGTGTAAGTTGAACACTGACCATCTTTGGCAGAATCACGCCCACAGCCAGATCCGCGCACACAGATCTGCCAAGACAAACAGAGCAGTACACGGTGTAAGCTGTGCTGCCTGTGTGGCAATGCAGTAATACACCACTGGCCCGAGCTGGTTTTTTGCTTTCCTTAATTTTTTCCCCCTTTAACCATGGTCAGAATCCAGCCCCTGTAAAGTAATCTCTACAGCTCAGCCTTTCCAGCCTTGGTTGGCTTGACTATTTTGCTCCTCTAGATCCAAGGACTGTGTTGCATGTCCACTTGGACCAACCTAGTGATGGTGGCAAGTGATAAGTGCACAGCAAAGACAGTTCTACAGATGTTAATGTGCTCTCTGCAGAGTAGTCAAGAAATTCTATATGGATGAAATGGTCCCGTTCTGCTTCATTGAATATCTAGTGTTACAAGTAGAAGGTACTGTTTTGTGTGCATTCATTATAAATGTAAATTTTTAATATATTAATTAAGTTTGGTGACTGTTTGTTTCATGTTTGAAAGTATAATCAATGTCTCAAATTTCAATCTCATACACCAGAACTTCTTGGTTGGATTTCATTATTCTGCTAAGCAGTGTTAATCAAATACTGTTATAATGTGCCATGTGAAACATCTATTATAATTTGAACTTAATTTTAAATATTGATAAAAGCCTTTCCTCATCAGTATTTGTACTTGTATTACATTTCTTATGTAATTATTACAGTCTAATAGATGTAATAGTTTCTTTAAATGCTCAAAGACAAAAAGATTTTAAAAGACTGAAATATGTACTCACACAAATAATCAAAAATATAATTAATATTGCACTCCAAAATGTTAGATTATATGTTTTGTAGATTGTCTTATTGTATTGCAGGGAGTATACAACAATAAAAGATTGTATTATGATTAACGGAAAAGGAAAACAATACAAGTATGTAATTAAAAACCCCTTCATTTAACAGGGAAAGAAATAGTAAACTTTAGAGTGATGAAGAGAAGAGCTGTAATAAACAACCTCAAAATCATTGTGGAATACTAAAGAATTGTTATTTGGAAAGGCTTGAATATCACCTGTGGGTGATATTAGTGTTAGTTAGATGAGTTTAGTAAATATATTTGAAGGCGTTTCCAGTGTAAAGATTCTGGTTCAGGAATAAATGAGAGAACAGATAATGTGTCCAGGGTAAAAAAAAAAAATCAACCAAAAAAAAACAAAACAAAGGAGCAAATCCTTAGAAAGGTACATGGCAGACAGATTTCTGAACAGAAGCCTGGAGTGAGTTTTGGTTTTAGAACAATGTATTCCCATCTTTCAAAGTAACTTTCAAAGTGGGCAGGTTCAACAGGTACCTCAAAGTTTCTAAAGATGATTCAAACAACTATAACATAGGATGTGCAAAATAAACCAGTGAAAGTCTTACTGTGAAATGATGTTAAAAGACCTGACTGTTTTGTGCTAGAGACACATGGGAATTTTGTAACACAATTCAAAGATCAGTGGATGTATCCCATAACCACGTTGCAGTCTGAACACTGCAACATACTGAACCAATTCTCGATTCTCTGTCACTATGAATGGTATTAAAGCTCAGTATATTTGCATCCCAAGTCATTCACAAATTCAAATCCAGTTGTTTTGGCTTTATTCTTATAAATGTAATAGGAAAGTAAACACTTTCCAGCACTATTCCTTATAAAAGCTACTGCAGTATTTGTGGTCAAAGCAGTGGCTTAAGGCACTGTAGTGCTTCTGTGCTCAGGTGTCATTTCCAGAATGTTATTTTACTGCTGATGTCTTTCTGAGATTTTAGAAAATAGGCTTTCTTCTCACTCAGACAGACTTAACTCAGTGTTGCAGAAAAAAAAGCTTGCAGATCACCCTTTCTGAACTGATTGTATTTCAGTTTTAAATAACTGTTTGAAGCTAACCATATCCTGTTCAACTCAGGATATGGTCCACCTAGATGCCCAAGTCCATGTCCTGTGTTACAGCATCTCACGGGGAGCTTTGCTCTTGCTTCACATGACACGCCTGAGACTGTCTGACATCACCATCCTGTCAACTTCCATGTCTGAACTCCAGAGAGCAACTGCTCTTAACATAAGTTGTAGGACAAACACGATAAACAACCATCTTTAACTGATGGAAAATAACTTACCAAAACCTAAATCTGCATCACTGTTTTATGTAACTTCAGGGGCCAAATAGATTGTAGGGAAAACCCTTTTATTGTCGATTTCCTGATACAGTAAATTCCAGTCTCGTACTTTGCAATGTACTTGCAATTGAGTACGAATCTGGTTCAAGAAAATTAAACTTCCAAGACCTACCAGCAGCACAGGATATATTAACAGATGTACTCTATTGCTTTCAGCTAGATTTTCAGCACAACTATGGATTTATTAGCGTAAAATACCATTACTGACAATTGTAAGAGCTGAAAGATATTCAATGCATAACATTTCAAATGTTTTGTTGAAGATTGGGTGGGTTTTATATACTGTGTAAGAATAATAAGCTTCTTACCATGGAAGTGAATGCTGAGTCCACAGAGAAAAAAGAAATGCTCCAAAGAACCGAGGAAGCCAATAATCCAGAAGCCTTAATTACTGACACTATGCTTTACTCGGTAGTCCATGTAAAAATTAGTAGTGATTACAGCTCAGTTGTGGTGGAAAGACTGAACTCAGACATGAGATGTGCAGCTGGCCTGGCATCCTCACAAGGAGGGACAGTGTTGAATGGTGTGAAGAGCAAACTAGTTTCTGCAGTCTAGAGAAGGTCCTGTGGGGAGGTAGCAGGACACTGTAAGGAATCCTGGACTGCTGCTGCTCTGGCTCTCCCACCTTCACTGACAGACAGATTATTAGCGTCCAGAAGCTACCAGGCTTCACCTTTCACCACCAAGAAAATCAGTGGAAAGAATAAAAATAAATGACAGTATTTTGACAAAACAAACTTGTCATCACATATCTTTGCTTTTATTGCTCAGCTATTCCCAGTGGTCAAGGTGCTCAAAGAATAACAACCATAAAAACTAGAACTCAATCTGTATTTCCAGAATATGGAATGAGAATTCATCTATCTAGCACACATGCCCCTGTTTCTCCTTAAGTGTATAAAATGATTTAATGCAATTAAAGGTAATATTTCAGAGACATAAACTCTAACAATGCCCAAAACTCAACATTAAGACATTAATTTTAGATGTCACATGGACAAAATATGAGAAGAAAATATAGCCCACAGCAATGTGGGAGTTTCAGAATGCAGGTATCAGATGCAGATCTAGTAAATGTGAAAAAAAAATAAAAAATCAGAACATGGTTCCTGTTGGTAATAACAAGAGGGAAACGTCAGATATTATTTGCTTCTTTTGGGTGCAAGACTCACACGTGCCCTGCAGTGCACATGGCAGCGAATATGAAAGATAATTATTGGAAATAGTCAGCTCATTTTCCTACCTTGAATGTCTTCTGCCTGCCTAAACAAAAAAAATGCTTATTGATCCACCTGACTATTTTCCTGGTATTTATGCTATAAACATAGGGTTTATTTTGATCTTGCTTTTTTCTTTACTAAGTAAATCATCAATAAAGATAGGGAAGTTTTTTAGAATGTAAAAGCATATTGCAGCACTGCTACATCACAGTTGCACTTGTCCAGTACCAAATCCAGTAACTCTAATTTGGATAGTTCCTGCAGTCTGTCACTGATCTTCTCCAAAATGTACATCTACATGAAGAAACATTGCCCAACTAAGAGAAGGCCAAATCGATGACTGTATAAATCCACATAAAAATAAACACAAATTTTAAATGCGACTGTCCATTTAACATCTTCGCCAAAAATTTAAGAATGTCTTAATAAAATGAATGCTTAAATAAGAAAGAGTGGTCTAAAAAACAGGAAAAAAAAATCCTTCAATCGGAAGCTGTGCTGCCCCAGTGGAAACTGGTGTCTGTTTGTGAGCAGCTACTTACTGTTCTTGTGATTTGGCTTTAAGAACGTTCTGTTTCTTACAAGTAAGCTTAGTGAAGAGTTGTGATTTTTTTTTTTTTTAATATATATACACTCTTATAACCTGGAGGCAAAACTAGTGCTGTGTTTTGCTTATAAAGCAAATCAAGACAGAGAGATGAACGTCTGCCTCTATATGCAAGCATCTGGAGAGCACAGGAGAAGGATCTGGACTGCATCGTGCCCAGGGGCACGGACAGGATGCACGTTCCTCACTAAGAAGCATGTGAAAAAGGAACAGAGAAAGAAAAACTGAGAAACAAGAGAAGCTCTCAAAGCAACAAGAACTTAATAGAGTGAGCCTTGGCATCCAGGAAAGCTGGATTTCAAGGGTTTGCCATTTAATTCATATATCCTGACAACAGGATTAAATAGCAAAGCATGGATTCTTCTTCAGAGGCCAAGAGGATGTCTGGTGGAAAGAGAACTGTAAGAGGAAATGATGCTGCTTCCATATTTGTCTTATAGAATTGCTTAGTTTTCCTCCTACTGAAAAGGGTGAAAGTGTTTTGAAGTCAAGAGATGTTTAATTTTCTCTTACAGATTTATTATGTTTATTTCTTTGGGGATCTCATTGCTTTGATAGCCCTTAATTTTCCTGATGTTAATGTGGGTTTTTTAGATTTTCCTGCTTGGAGTTGTTGAATTTTTCTATTTTTTTCACTGATTTTATATAAACAAAGTGCTGAGGAAACTATAAAGAAACTTTTCTAAGTTATGTGAAGCAGATACTTTTCCATAAGCACATCTTAATTTATTTAATAATAAATTTAAATCATATTTAAATTATTTAATTGTGTGCAATACTTAAGGTATAAGATAAACATAATTTTGCTAAATGAAATCATAGAGCATGTCACGTTGCTGTGGAGGCACTGATATAATTTTTCTCCCTAATTATAAAACCCATAAACTAAGAAAATATACATACATACATACATATGTACACATTATTCAAAAGAAGCAGTGAGTTTAAAGAAATTGAGGAGGGAAGGAGGTATTTAAGTTCACTTTAAAAAATAAACAGTGAACACAAAAATTGAATTTCATCCTGCTGCAGGTTGAAAAGAAACATAGTCAGCAGCAAACAAACCCCTTTTGTTTAGCACTTCCAGCGCAGCCCTAAAAAGAACTTCTACATCACTCCAAATGAGTGGTAGTTGGGAGAATGGACAAAGGGTTATTTCATTCCTTTTGTGGATGGAGAGCCTGAAAGCTGGCAGGAATCAGTGAGGTGGGAGCACATATCGGCACTGCCACTCACATCACTGGTGCCAAAGGAAGAGGGGACTCCCATCCCCAAGGTTAGCAAACTTCTACAGTGAAGATCAGACACCACAGAACCTTCTACTTCTGAACTAACCAAAAAGGGAGCAAGACCAGGTCAAAAAGTGCAGCATTATATAATTCACCTGCTGGACAGCACGTGCCATGTAAAAAAGCAAATTGGAAGAAAGGATGACTCTGGATATTATCAGAATGAAATGCTAATGAGCAGAGTTTGTTCTCTGATTTTGCCTACATGGTAAGAGCAGCAATGGCAAGTATGCAATGTATGCAATATCCACATTATGCTCTCAGGGAAATGGTACTAGTGACAGATTTTGCCACTGCATCAAGCACTCTTTTTCTTTTCTTTTTATTTCATATATAAAAACGTTTGGTAAATCAAAACACAACCCCATCTGAACAAATTAGTAATCTTAAAAATATGGTAAATGCATCTGGCTGTTTTTCATGAGAGCCAGCAAAGATTTCTTCTTCAGACTGCTGGAATAATTTTTTTCAAGGCTTCATCTAGCACAGCTCAAAGACAGTCTGGTTTGGGTGGTTTTGTTGCTTCACAGAGCTATCTGCTGTACAGCAGGATGCTCATTTAGCACAATTATACCACTTTGATTCTCTCCCATCTTTAACTGATTGGCAATGGTCAGTTTATGTTGTTTAAATAACCGGCTCACTGTGTTTACATTTTCTCTAGTATGCAGCTCAGTTGCACTGAGCTGGTGCCTTCATTATCTCTGACTGCCTTGGAGTTCAAGACCAGCAAAATCAGAAGCCAATGGTCCAGGCCAGGGAGGCGCCTGCTGCAGTTTAGATGGAACTCTCGAGCCCTGCAGTCTGTGCTCTCAATGGTGCCCACCACCATCGCTCATTGACTACATATTCTGTTTGAAATGCTTTGCTGGGCAAGACAAAACAAATTGCGACAAATTAAAGTGTTATCCCTTAGTTTTGACCGTATGTTTTTCTTTGTGTTAAATAAAAGGCTTCATCTCTTGCATAAACAGATCTTTTCATCGTCAAACCCAGTCTGTAAATATGTATTACTTCACTTCCTTCTACAGCATATGTTAAGAATGAGGTGCTAAACACAAAAAGGTTGCCACCCTCAGAAAACTGGGATTTGGGATGATTCCATGAGTGCTATCTGCACATGTCAGGTCAGTCACTGGTGTGGTATTCAGCTGTAGCCCACAGAGGTAGCATGGAAAGATTTCTGCCTTTAGGAGAGCTGGTTTACCAAGCAAGCACACAAACCATCTGTTCTGAGAGCCTCTGTATACACCCTCACATGTAATAACTACATTCAGTGAGTGATGGGATCAGTGATGTGTCTGTGTTTCTATACTAGAAATGCACAGGAAAATAAAAGGGAAAAGTGCAAAATATATTGTCAGCACTTCTCCCATGCTGTCATAGGACAAAAGGGTATGGAACAGTTCTTGGACTATGTGAAAGCCATGAAGACTGCAGTGTTGAGTTACAGGTTAAAGGGAAAAGTTTCTTCTTAATTGCCCAGAATGTATAATTTATTTCAAAGGACAACACATAAAATCACTATTAGTTTGTATTGTCATCATGAGAGTAAGACCAGGTCAATAGTCACAACAATGTTCAGAGATAAGTTAGCATGTGAATGAAGATGGATTACTGGGAGAACACACTTCCCCTTTAACAGTAGGGCATTTTGCACTGTCTAGTTTGAGCAATCTCCAACTTTTTACAGGTCAAAATGGTGATGTGGCATCAGTGATTTGCTTAAGAGCCATTTAAAACTGTTCAGCAGTAGATATGGCCCAATCCCTTTTCCACTTGAGTGCAGTGGGAACAGGAAAGGCACACAGTTTTAGCATTGTAGTCAAATAAACCCTTATTTCAAAAAGAAACTCACTGTAGGCTGACTCCAATGCTCTCAACATTCAACGTGCATGGTATCCAGTTACACTCAGATCATACAGAAAAGAGACATAAATGAGAATCCAGCCACACTGCCAGTCTTGGCTTTCTTTCGTATGACTTTGATTTAGTTTTGTTTCATTCTGTCGTTAAAATATTTTTTAAGAGATAGAAAATCTTACCTCTTAAAGGAGCCCATTGTTAGTAACTTGTTCATCACAGCCCCTTCAACCTCCCCAAAAAAGTAACCAGTCTGTAAAGGGAAAATGCAAGAAATTACCAAAAGTGTAGATAAACACAAACCAACATTGGGTTCAATTTAAACTGGCATAATCCAGGATCTGACAAGAGTGGCTTTGACAGTTACAGAGACAGGTTTTCAGGACTACTGCTACATAAAATCTGATGAGGACTTCACAGTCATGGCAAGTGGCTGGGATTACATTATTACCCCTGAGCAGATGTGAGAGCTTAAACAATATATTGAGGTACATTATATAACATCTAATATCAGAAATAAAAGCCATCCAAACCTAAAGCTTGTAAAGAAAACACACTAATCTGATCACAAACCCTTGTGATTAAAATGTTACTCAAAAAAGATATAAACAGGTTGTGAGAGGATTTCATAAACAGTCATTAAAAAGCGTTGTTTATAATTCCTGCATGACCTGTTTAAGGAGCTGGAACAGTACATTTCATCAATCCTATAAATTTTAACTCCTTTCAGAGTCATTTCATACTTAAAACCACTCAGCCTGATGAATTACTCATTTTGTCCTTGTTCAGCACTTGTGGACTAATAAAAATAAATCTCTATTGAGAAAACAAACATTCATGTTATGAATTTGGTATGTACTATGGAAGTGACTCTGTCATCTGCAGCCATTCATATGACAGTGGAAAATCCTGCATGTACAGCATTTTTTCTACCTTGGGAAGACCTGTTTTATTTTAGAGTCTCAACTCCCAGAAGAATTGGATATTTCTCTTCATTGTTTAAAGGGAGAAATCCCACAATTTATGAGGGGGAAAGGGCACTACACTCTCAAATTGCATGGATTCCATAGGTTTTGTATGAACTAAACCTCAATTCCATTACAAGGAACTTAGCTGACCTCAAGTATGCACCTGGGAGTTTGCAGGCAGAAAAGTTACAGCCCTAGCTAAAAAAAGGCATTCCTCCACCTAAAAAGCATGTATTGCCTTTTTTTTATTCCTCGGGGGAATCTTGGAACATTTTCCAAAACATATGGGTATGTAAAGTCTCCTAGAAACAAGAGGAACATGACTAAAAATACTACCTTCAATAGCTCTAGCTGACTGATGAAGAAAAATTATCCTAACTATTGGAGAGGCAATGTCAAAAAACCCTAAACCATAAATGCCTGGTTACAACCTTAGATAGTAATAAACCTGATTTATCAAGTTGTGCACCAGTCTTATGAAGACATTTCAGTGACAGTTCTTTCCACAAAAGCTCTGTCTGTAAATGCTAGTTCTCCCCCAAAGCAGTAACACACAGGTTATCATTATTTTTTTAATACGTTAAGATTTAATTGCAATTCAGATGAAGAATTACACTGCCCCACAAACATGATTCTTGAAGCAGTTCTGGTCATGTTTGGAAAGTCCATAGAAAAGCAGTGCTGAAGCAACCCTGGACAGGCAAGTCATTCATAAGGCACCATCCCACTTCCCTGCCCCTTCTCTATCCACAATAAATATAGAGTGTATACACACATATAAAAATAAATATATACTATTGTAATCTTGTGTTACACATAGACACAACTCTGCTGTCCATCTTAGACTTAGATCCACTGTAACTACAAAACTAGCCCTAGTTCTGGCTCAGCAGTTGTCCACACTATACTCTTCACAGGAGTATGTAATGGCTGATATCAGGCAACTACCAAAGGAAACATTTCTTCCCAATATTTATTGGCCACAGCCAACTATAAACTTGCAAGTAATTTACACAAGTCACAACTATTTACCTCTAGTAACAACAACAAAAGGGGAATAATGAGAGGAACGTATTTTAAATGTATCAAGATTATTCTGTAATGGCTGCATTTCTTATATCATGCTCAACTAAACAGAAAATATAGATTTAATAGTTAGATGAAAGGCAAAAAACTCCAAAAAGCTACTTCAAACATAACGCAGTTAATATTTAAGTAATGCTATATTTTTAGTTTATAATTTTTTGTATACATCCTGGAATTACATTCAGAACATGCTTGACATTCTAAAGGAATGGAAGCAATAAATTTAATAAATTTAAACAAACTAATCCATGTCAGTTCTCAGTTTTGCATATAAGATGACATACCACGAAGAATGACCATTGCATGACACAGTACAGCATGTTTAACAGTTAATGCTCTGTTGGAAGGACAATAGTTTCAGAAAAATTGCCTTTCTCTTGTTTATTATGTGCTAATATAACTTTCAAAGTCCCAACCAAAATGGAGCAAGGGAGAGAGGGTTCATAAGGAAACAGGCAATTATTTTTGTGCTATTCAAAAGCGAAAAATATCTCTATCTTGTTACTTCCAGAAGTGTCAGATTTAAGGCTACAGTAATTCAAGCTTTTAATTTAAAAGCAAAATGCTCAGTTTAGCTTCTTTTTTTGCCATTCACTTCGAGTTTTTATCTCCTCTCCAGACACTCTTCCAAGTCTCCCGGAGGTCTTTCCAAAAGCTGTTTCTCAGTAACCAACCCAGTCATAACAGATTTGATTCACCTGAGGGCTAAGTAGGAGTGGGAATATTCCTATTCACAATCCCAACACATAAAAGAAATTCAACTTCAGACAATTCTGGCATTATTGGGGCACCATCCCAGCCGTTTTCAGGCAGAAGTTAATGAGAATGGTGATGATTCCTTCATAAGGTTCACATGATTGAGTGATTATACATTAATTTTTCAATAATTTTCCAAGAAGAATAAGCGAACTGATGCTTTGAATGATCTTATTAATCGTGCTCCTTGTCCTCTCCGTTGTGATGCTGAGTGCTTAGTTTTAATCCTTCAATGTCTGTAATCCACTTCAGAAAACAAACTCCTCAACTAGCAGCTCTGTAAAATCTCATTAATCTCAAGTTTGAATGTAAAAGCTCTGTGTCCCCTCCCTCCCTTCCCAGCCTTTCCATGTGACAAAAATGCCACAGAGAATCCAGGGGGTTTCTGGGGGTTTTTTTTACAGAAGACAGACACTTATGCAGCAAGAAAAGCCTTTAAGAGAACATTTATGAGTTTAAGAGCAGACCCTGCCCCGATGGGAGACAGAAACTGAGCTCCTGTGAGAAACAACTTACACTCTTTGTAGAAGGAATTTTTTTAATTTTATGTTACTGAATCCTTACCATTTTCAGATGGTGGCCTATTTAAGAAACAAGTACTTTTAGATTAATGTGTTACATGAAAAAACTGAAGAAAAATCTTTCCCTTACCTGTCTATAGTCTTCAGATACTAAAATAAATCCATTGTTATCTATTAGGTAACAGTTGATTGTCTGAAAAATGATAAAATACCATTTTAATTTTTGATTTTAGGATACATCAATAAGTTAATCATGTACTTCTAAGTACATGGATAAAGTTCAGGTTGTTATAATGGTTTGCATAAATTCTGAGTGCAGTCCTGACTTATGGGATGTTATCTGATTTAATTTTTATGCATTTGTTTCATGCAAAACAAAACAAAGATGTGTACAAAATGGGAGGATATAAGATAATTACAAACAAACATAAGAAAAACAAGGTCAGTGTTTTTGTAAGCCATTTTTAAAAGTTTTCCTTATAACTAAGTTTGCAAAGGCTCAGAACTTTGGTCTTCCTGATGGCTTCTCCTGTGTTTGGAGAAAAACATCAGCACAGTGTCATTACCCTAATGATGTATTAATGAAAACACAGTGTCAGCCTGCAGAACCAACAGGGGACCAGGTAATATTTTTTAATTTGTTCATTGGGGGATGGGACCAGAAACTTCTGTAAAAGAGGCCCCACAGGTCTCCTAAAGCTTTTCAAATTGTGTTTTTAATTGGGAACTGGATTTAGAGGTAGGACTGTTAGCCTTTTGTAGGTCAGACTTATAAACTGTATAAAACAAGGTAAACCCAAATCAGTGCTTCCCTGCATACACACATGCACTGTTTTAACCTCAAGTGAATTACTCGCTACAGGCAAAGTTTTAATTACTGAGCTTCAGAGTTTAAACATAAGGTTCAACTCAAACCCTGATATAACTCAGTTTCTCTTCAGTAATGCCAAATACCTACCTCAGTGTTGAATCTTTTTTGTGTTTCTGTTGTTGGTCTAAATCAGCAAACATTTTTATCATTGCTTATTGAATTTTCTGTGCCATTTGTGTAAAAAGAAAAGAATTAAGTAGAATGGCTTTCAAAATAGGAATCCTCGTGGCTTTGTTTTCAATTCAAAATCTTCCCTGGTGGAAATGGGCTGTACAGAGATATGACAAAAATATACTTTTTGCTACACTCTGCACATTCAGCAAAATCCCTCTGTTGTTTTAGGGAGGAAAGCAGCCCCATGCAGTAGTAGTTGTTCAAGATGCAAAAATGCAGCCTGGTATTGCAAGAAATGTTTAGATGTGTCTGACTCTCATTCTGGCCATATATTAGTACTGCTCTGTGGGGCAAAGAAGAGGAGAGATTTGCAAAAATGCTGGCTTGAGGCAGACTTTTTATAGAAACAAGAAAGCCAAAATCAGGCAAAAGTTCAGAATGAACATTATTCCCTAATGCAAATGCAGGATATTCATTCTAATAGGGGAACCTAAGCTACAGGCACCCCCAGTGACAGAAAACCTGTCAAAAAGGAAGTTGAAACAACTCATTTCCGACCTTTGATCTGCTAGAAAGCCCAAAATTGGCAAAAGCAATGTGAAAAGCTGATGATGCTGGCAAAGAACCCAGCAGAGCTAATGCATTCAGAAGAGGCAGCTCCTTAACCTCAATGGTGTGTGAAGGGTGGAATTTCATGAGGAGGCTGTAACACCAGAACACTGCTGTCCCCAAAGTCCACCATAAACCTCCCACCAACTTTATTAGGAGAGGAGCTAAGTCAACAGAGAACTCTTTTGAGGATACCTATTTGCAGTCCTCATGCATGAAAAATTAATCGGAATTCAGTGCTTTAGAACCACTACTTCTCCATAGAAAATAAATAAAAGTAATTATGCTGGACAAGAAAGAGTGTAGGCTTAATTTCGTAGTTTGTGACTTACATGCTGTTGGGAAAATACTGGTTCAGTTCAAGAATTAGTGGCCATGTCTCAAATCCCTAAGACAGAGTCATTCACTAGCATTGTTCGGAAATTTAAAAAATACTAATTTTTTAGCATTATTATTGGAAACAGGCATAATGAAATAAGTGGTAAATGGAATCTGCATCTTTTTGGTGGAATGTGAAGATAAGAGGGTTTCTATTTCAATCCATTTTAGAAACATTAACAAGGGAAAAAAATATTCATTCAGGACCATTCATTCAACTGCTTGCCAGCAAGATAAATAATGTTCAGTGTTCAGCATTGTGTTAAAGAAACAGTTTGAAACAACTTTAGCACTGACAAAGGGCAGCAGGGTGCATTTACTCATCCAACACATTAGCAAATCTCAAACAAAAGATTTCTGATACAAGATTAATGCATGAGATAATAGCTTTGAGATTGACTGGATCTGTATGAAAGAGGTTTAATTCACAATATTTCACAGGTATTGGAAGTGAACCATGCTCAGGTTTGCCCAAAGGTTCAAGTTCAGTGAACTTCAGATTTCAAGGGGAATGTTCTATAGGTGGAGAGTCCCTGAGCTTGTAAAACCTTAGGCATAAAGTCCAGAATAAACACAGCAAGAATGTTGACTGAGGTCTGAGAACACATTTGAATTACAGTAACTTTGATCAAGTTCAAGCCCTCTATGTATTTTCACAGCTCCAATATACAATAACAGTAATGGAATGTAATATGGGTTAAGAAACCAAAAATGAAAAAGAAAGAAAACAGTACATTTAAATAAAATGTGAGGCATCAGGAAACCAAGAAGAAATGAGCAAATTCAAAGCTTAAAAAAAAAGAAAAAAGGATTTCAAATTAATAGGCTGTATTTTTGAATCAAAAGTATCACACACATTGATAATTTGCTTTATTTTTAATTAATTATTTTTGCTATTAATATTTTGCTATTAATAATAATTAATATTTATTGATTATTGTGCCATTCCATTTGCATTAATGACTTAATATTTACTTTTAAATGCTTTAATTTATACCATAACTGCTCACAGATATTTTCCTGTCATTGAGAGAAGGTGTGAAAGTTAACAGACTCAACAGAGGAGCTGTGATATTTGATTGAGTCCTATCAACAGTATGTTTCGTCATTAAGAAAGAGTTTGGAATCTCTAAAACACCAAGGTTCTCAGTAGTACTAAATTTCTACATACGCTCACATGGCTCCTGCTGGTGTCAAGCTGAAAAGACTTTAAACTGCTTATGTTTCTTTAAAGTTAATAATAAAGTAGTAAACAAATGCCTTAGCACTGCTCCAAATTATTTCCCAAACTGGATTCACAAAGCAGAATTTACTGCAACGTGTTTTAGGTACTGGTGTCAATCTTGTAATTAAATGCATGTCTACAAAAAATGTAACATATTAAAGGTGATCACAAATTACATCAAGAGATCATAATGTACACGAGACGTTCAAATCAAATTCATCAACTCTATGTTCTACTGCAGTAGAGATATACATGGAAAAAAAATCTGTTAAATACTTACTTCATCATCACAACTTATAGCACATCTGCCATCGAGAGATGCACACTAGGGATGATATCAAAAATCAATACAATATTTTCATTTATCATTCAAAGATTACAAAATAAACATTTCAAAAATTCAAATGGGCAGAATTATAAAGGAGCTGCTATTGATTACATTTTTATCTAAAATGGTTCTAAAAATGACTAAGAAAATTTTAAACCTGTTCACCAAACCTGTTCTGTTCCTGCCTGCAGAGAAAAGGTGCAGTCACATGTAACAGTTCCAGCTGGAAACACCACAATCTCCTCCACGTGCTGGAAGCTTCGAGACCATTCACAGAGGGAGGGTTTTCCAGTAGGGGTTGGGCACACCTGCATTTTAGGTTTTTTTCTGGACCAGTACATTCTCAAAGTAGGGGTGGTATCCCCTAACCTTTAGAAAGTACCTGATTATCCTCTTCAGTGAGTATAAATTCTATCCCTTGAATGTTTTAAGTGAAATTTATTGAAGACTATGAATGCCAACCATGACTCAGTAATCTAGTTTAGTTAAATAATGTGATACTTCACTTACTGAATGTTACAAGAGAAAACTAAGTGAGAAGGGATAATTCTGCTACTACTGGAAGCAAATAAATATCACAGTTTTGTTTACTGTTTATACTTTTCTAAGGCAGAAAAACAACATGCCAACAAATGTACTGGGGTCTAAAATAAATAATCTTTCTAATTGCCTCCATAAACGTGGGATCGAGCAACTGTTATTCACCACTGAATTCTCCTTTGTAATGAGAAACTGGAATGTAAATCAGAACTAGTCTTCAAATACATTGTTTCTTTAAAACAGTTTGCTTATGACAAAATACTGCAGATCATCAGCACAGTTAAAAAGCTGTTGTGCATTCATTGACAAAGAAAAATTCAAAATATACCTGTCTGCTTGCAGTCCAAAATTTCCGCTGGAAAAATTCAAGTTTCATCTGGATACCTACAGCTAGGAAAGACATAAATTAAAACAAAATAAATTAATAAATAAACCAAGCATGTTTAATTCCTTCAAAACAATTATTTGAAATTACTCAGAAAGAAGAAGTCTTACAATGAAAAGAGGAAGTAAGCCCTGAAATAAAAAACCACAGCTAATTAAACTGAAGACACCACACGGTCATATTTTAAACCCTTTACAGTCTGGTTAAACAGGAAGATGCTGTTAGAGATTAGATATTCATCACATTGTATAAAAAACTCGTTCAAATTGCATATGTCTCCATAATTAACAGAAAAGAACCACAAGCTGAACATATTTATGTTCACACCAATTTCATTTATATTTTACTGGTACCAATATAACAGCTGTAGGGAACTCACACTGTGTGTTTTGTGATGAAATACATGAAGATTTGCTGAAACAACATGAAAATTTGGTTAACATTTCAAGTGATGATTTGTTTTGAGGTCATTTAACCCATGGCACATCAGTGGAACAAAAGAAGCATTAAAAATTTGTTTGAAAGAAATCTGAAGATTATTATGTGCAGTTCTGTCAAAGGAAAGTATCGGACACATATAACTGGGTTTCAAATTTTAAAGAAAAAGGCTATTAACGATAATAAATTGTAATTTAAAAAATGATTATTAGTGATACTACAGGTGTAAGTTATACATTTCTCATCATTTCAGGTGGGATTGCTTTTCCAAATATCAGTGAACCTTTCTTCCGGCCTAATTCTGATGTTCCTATTGAAGAATGATATAATGCACTGTGGTTTGCATAAGCTCCAAAGGCAGTTGATTCTTCTGGTCTCACCTGCCTAAACTGAGAGAATTCAAAAAAGTTTCAGTTGTAAAGCCTTAAAAGTCAGAAATCTAACTCCTAGCAAATTCATTGCTACGATGTTTTGTTTAAAAACAAAGCCGCAAATAAAAGAGAAAATAGTTGTTTTGGAAAACTGAATAATATTTCATTTATTCATTCCTCCTCTAGGGTCCACAGCAGGAATCATTTATAAACATACTTACATTTAGATTATTGGCACTTGCTTTTGCAAACACACACGCTGATGTCATGCTTGTATTTTATTTTGTGTAAGCAGGTAGGGAAAAGTCTGTGAAATGAAATCTGTAATGAACTGATACAATAGAATATGAAATTACATCAACAATTTTCCTATTCTAGCAGGTTATAAATATTTTTCTGCTATCTGTAATTCATGGATGTTTTTTGCTTAAGAGCGTAGGTAGAGAAATCCAGGGGTTTTTTGAATAAACACCAGAGGAAACTCTCTCCAGCTACATTTTATTATCTAGGAATTAATTTCACAGTCCATGAGAAGACACTGTCTGACAGCCATGCAGCATGTGTTTTCTTCATCTATGGTTTGCCTTCAGGTTCACTCCCAGCACTCAGGTGATCTGCACATCCCACCCCCTTTTTGTGAAATGAAGGCAAAACACACACACTTTCCTCAAGGAAGCCATTTCACTTCTGGGTGTTATGTCAGCCTGGGAAATGTCCATCTCAGAATGCTGTTAACTGGAGAGATGCCTGGGCTGTACTTAGATATTGCTCATTTAAGGTCCTGATAAGGTTGACCCTTTGGAGTTCTCACCTCCCAGAGCAGAGAAGCCATTCACAAAATTGAGAATATTTCAATTTCCAAATTATCAAGTTCATTATCCCAATGATGTAAAAGAACAGAGTTTCTTGCACAATTCCACACAGGAGCTTCCCTGTCATGGAATGAGTAGCTTCTAAGTAATCTATATCCTATGTAGTATAAAATAAATGAAAATTACTAATGCTTCCTAAAATTCAGCTAAAAGTTATTTGAATGCCTCTACTTTCAAAAGAATTAAGTGTTAGTGTATGGGAAAATAATTTTCTTTTCAAGCCCTGATGTGATACTAAAGCATTTTTGCAGGTTTTTCCCTCCTGAGCTTTTCAAGAACATTGTAACTAGAAGATTACTTTTTTTGGTTTGGTCATTTAATGCCATAAGAGCTACTCTTCAAAAGGTTTTAGAGCCAATATATTCTTCTGAGCACTCCCTAGTCCTTCAGCACTTAAGAACTTCAATATAAAATACCTGTGCTCCAAGTCACTCTATATTTAAAATGTATGTTTTACAAACTGGCTACATGTGGGGGAAAAGGGAAACAGGAAAACTTCAAAATTATATGTCCCATGTCACTAATTCCTAGTTTAGCCTCCTGGGTGTAACAGCTACCACAGAGGTTAGATTAAAAACCTGTAATTGCACTGAAATTGGTCTAAATATTGTTCAGTAAGGTACCCAGACAACACCCACATTTTTAATTAAAAAACAAACTACAACCAAAACCTCTAATCAATCTTTGTGTGCAACATACACTTTAAAGCATAAAGTAGTCTTCAACATTTGCAGGCTTGGTTCAACCAAAATGGCCAAAGGATAAAAAATTATTTTTTTCAACCAGGAAAAAGTAGTCAAGATGAGGCAAAAAGGTTTTGTCTTCACTGCTGCATTTCCTTTGTAATGTCACAGGGGAGAGTGGGCTGGAGCTGGAGACATGCAGGAGAGCAATCCATGGGAGCTGATGGAGGGGTATTGAACTCCTTCTCCATGTAAAACAAAACCTTTCATTTCAAACAACTATTGCAAATCCAATTTTTTGTCTCAGTAGCATCAGCAAATTTTCTTAGGTGATTCCATTAAATACCTTCAATGCTGCCTATGGAAAACAGTTATTAAATCCCTGAGATTTCTTCCCTTAGTTTAATAAATTAGCTGCTATTCTGCAGTGCAGACCCTATGAAATAACAGATGGTTGAGAATGACAAAGTTATATTCTTGGCTGAGTGATAATTATCGTTAAATAAGTAATTTCCTTATGCATCAGTTCCATGGCAAAAGGTAATATTTCACTCTTCTAGTGGGTTGCTTTTGGGATAGAAGTACTGGGAAGTGTTCAACTGCTACAGGGCTCAGGGCTGCTTAGTATCAGGCAAACATGAAGGAAAACAAATAACTCAGAATAGATCAGGATTGCTTGAGTTCATTTCAAGATCTCCACGGTTAAGCAAACAGACAGAAAGATTAGGAAAGCCTTCCTCAACAAATTACTTCTATGCACAGAATTACAAGACTACTTAGGCTCTAAGTAAAAAGAATAATTTCCTACTTAAAATAAGAGAGGAAAATGGATTAGACTGATTTACTTCAGGCAAGAGAGGAGCTGAATCTCCCTATAAGCCTGACAAAGAGATTTCAAATACATAATTATAGGAAAAAGTAATAAAAGCTAAAGGGATTTCCATTCTGTGAAATATCTATAGACTATTGTACTATATAAAAGCAAGGTTAAAAAAATATTTTAAGGTCTCCACTTCTTTTCCCACAGAATATGGTATAGACTAAGAATCTTTCTCATATATAAAAGATGCCTAACATTTTGAGAACATTTTGGCCTCCTATTTCTGATGGAATTATCTTAAATGAGGTTTAACTTGGCTTCAAAATAAGAAATGCAGGATATAGACTTGTAGCAGGGTTAGTTTTCAATCTGCATTTCTTTTGTGCATTAAGCTTAGACTCCTTAAAGGCGCTCTTCTTTCCGCCTACTAATATTAACTCTTATTATTATCTTTTAAAATATCTAATAACTAAATTTGAAATATTCCAGAATGCATTTGAATATTTTAAAAAAGTTGATTGCACTTCTTCTGTTTAAATCTGTTTCAGTTCAAAAATCTCCGTCTTCAGTGTTCAGCTCAGGAAAAGAATGAGACACTGAATATTGCACCCCAATGCATAATACCGAGAAATAAACACCAGAGCTGTCAAGAAGAACAGCCAGTACAGATTCATGGAAGACTCCCACCACCAGAGATGATAAAAAAAACCTATAAAACATAGGTGTTATGTAGCATAATTAAAAAGAAAATGTGGATATTTTTTCCCTTCAATCTCAAGAAGTCTTGGCTAACGAATTAGAGGTATTCCAAGAGGAACTCTCCTGCAATAATATAGTTACATAATAAGTAATATATTTATGCTCCACTATCATGCAGCATAGCTGTACTCTCAGTGACAGTCACTCTTAAATCATATGCAGGATATATAAAAATACGAACAAGCACTTGTCAATTGTGCACTTCCCAGACTGCTTCCCAGGTTCAGTTCACTTGCACAGTAAAATGCAGTTTTCCCTTTCCAAATTTCACACTTCATTCAGTCTCCTTCTCAGTGATCTTTCCCCTTCTACCCATACCTTCCTCTTCTCACCCTGACTCATTTTTCAGTTCCTCTCTTCAAATAGAAGATCCTCAGAATTTTATTATAACATGAAAAAATTTTAGTTTTCTTATCTGGAAAGTTTTTCTTATGATAAAGCATAATTCCTACCCCAGCAAAATAAGGTATCCATTATGCATTTGGATAAGATACTACTTTTCAGAAACTGTCCTCTACAATGTGTTGGTTTGTTGGGATGGCTTTTAATATATTTTATTATTTAACTCAGTGACAATTTCTAATGTTCTTACAACTTGTAGCTTCTCTGACATGGAACCCTCTTGCCTAACCTCACAATGTGTCTATATTGCACATTTAGGTACCCTTAAATTATTTTAATATTTTAACTTTTTTTTTTTTAGTACTAAATCCTTTGAAATCCACATAAATGTGCACCTACCTTTTCCACCCGAGTCTGAATCACAGTGTCTCATTAACATTTACAGATTGTTAAAAAAAAGTCTTTTATTAACGTAGGTACAATGTAAAATAAAGAAAAAACTCAAAGTTCAAATTATCAAGTAGTTTTGATTCTATACAATAAGCTGGAAAAAATTTTGTATTATTACTTGTATCTTACATTTATCTTCTTACCATCAAATAATTGGAATGACTGCACATACACAGACATTTTTGAGTTCTATATAATTAGCAGTTTGTTATGGGGACAGTTTGCACATGTCATAATGTGTCATAAGATTTAGCAAGAATCCTTCCTTCA